TACTTATATATGTACTGTATATGTATTCTATCCGTTACCCTAGTATCCCATAACACAAGCCTTACAGTGTTTACTTTGGGGCTAGGCTAATTGGTGTGAGTGTTGGAAATATTTATTTATTTATATGAGCCCCTGTAATTACAACTTAGCATGCTTGCTAAATTTGTAACATGTATCAAGCAGTTTAATTCTAAAGTATTAATATATGGTACCAAAATAGTATTTCTATTTGCTTCTAAAATATGACTCATCTTACATTAATTGATCGTTAAATTTATCTACGATTTATCATCAAATAAAGCCACTATATGGTAAAAATATAGAATATTGTCCGTCGATTTAAGGACCGGTTGCGGGGGAGGGAGAGGAGGGAATTATCCCTACCTCTTCCCGCGCGCAAAAGTATAGTTTCTGAGATATTCATGGTTAAAATTTTAAGTAAGGACTGTACCAAAAGCCATTTTTCGGCCCACGGCTCACAATTTTCAGGGATTGGGAGGGAGTAGAGATGAAACGGTACCATCTAGGTATCGATACTTTTACTCGATACTGTATTGGTCATAAAGTATCGATGCCTACTCGGTATCGAATGAAAAATATTGATACTTAATTGTATCCATAAATTTTGACGAACGATATTACAATTACAAATTCAGTTACAGTTTTAATTTAACGAAAAACAAATAACGGCTTTAGTAGCGCCATGAACGAATAACTGACTGAATAAATTGGAATAAATATAAATCATTCGCAAGACTACGCCGCTGAGCAGTAGAAAAGATGCGTTTGCGAAATAAAAATACCACCATATACCATATAGTAAATAATCCGCCTATGGGTTTTTTTATACTTCTCAGTGAGTGACCGACCGAGTACCGATATAAGTACCTACTTCATGATACTACTTGTTACTCAGTTCTAAAGTATCGATGCCAAAAGTACTTGGTATCGAAAGAAAAGTATCGAGTAGTTACTTGTATTCACTCGTATCGTTTCATCCCTAGGAGGGAGAGGAAAGGGGTTATATTTTCCCCTCCCATTGATTGATAATATTTTTGAGGAGCTTGTGTTGCAGCTGTAGAACGTAAAATGATGATAAGTTGTAAAGTAAATTACGTGGCAATGTATAAATCAGAAAATGTTATTGTTGATCTTATTTGACGCTTTCTTTTAATATTTAGTTGGCGTTGTAAAAAAGATGAAAATTATATATTTTTATTTAAGAACTGAACTGCTAGATGTTAAAATCTAAAGATTTTTTTTCTAGATTTTTTTTGAGATGAATTACTTTATTAGAAACTAACTAATTTTCCCGTTGCTCAGTTACAAAAACAAGTTTAATCACGTGACCAAACAAAAATTCTGTAGCTGGACTTATTATTTTGCATTTCTTTATATTATATTATCCTTTTATCAGAAAAAATCTCATATTATTTTTAGTATTTAGCAAATAACGTAAAATTAGATAAAAATGGGCAGTCTTTCATCAGAAGCTAATCAGAATTTAACACGCTGACCAGGTAGCAGACGGGACGGGACTAAATCAAATCCTGATATTTTCTACTAAAATTTTCTGAAGATTTAAACTGCTCAAAGAATAAAATATAACCAGAATTTAACTTACCTAAATTCCAATAAGGTATAATTATTTTTAAGTTAATATAAGTATCGTTTATTAAAATATTATTATAATATAAACATCTGGAAATTACAGTCAGCAGACGTAGTGTTCCAGTACTTGAAGTACAATCGTGTCCGATCCAAATTAACGAATTTTAAGTTGCAAAGAGTTATAACTATAGTGTTACGTATTATATTAATTTTGAGGATTTAACAGCTAGATTTATAATTCTAATGAAACTCCACGTGATCCAGGCAGCAAACTGGATTTGAAAGAGCATCTTCCGCTATCCGGGCAGAGTTATAACTTTTTTGTTTGAACTATATTCACCGTTACAACAATCTAAGCACCATTTGCATTTGCACCAAAGTTTCTTAATCAAATTTATAAGTTAATCATGTTTATATTTTAAAAAATGTGACAAAGATGGAAATATGGATAAACGTCGAGATTTCATTCACTTATTGTCACAATCTTAAGACCAAAGTATCAATACTTTTTTGTGTCAAATCATGCTGTGAGTTACGATCGTTTAAATAAATAAACATTTAACTTGATTTAAGGGCGTTTGGAGTAGCTTCTCTAGCTAACGTTGCAATCCAAAGTTTTTTCCGTTAATACCTACTTATAATAAAACGATACCAAAGGATTTGGAATACCTAAAAATGTGTTTTTTCCTTATAGTATTGAGTATTTTAGTCTCGTCACGAATGGATATTGAAAATTGAGTTTACTTAAATATATTGTTAAGAGTCTAAATTCTAAACTGAATAAACATATTTAACTTTTAAGTAGGTAGTTATTTAAAAACTCATGTCTAATCATACTTTGAAAAACCGGAGAAGAGCGAGTCGGACCCGAACAAGAAGGGTGTCGTATCATTATCCGTACAACAATAGACACTATATTATAATATCGGGCAAAAAACGTCAAAAAATCACGTTTGTTGTATGGGAGCCCCACATAAATATTTATTTTATTTTGTTTTTAGTATTTGTTGTTATAGCGGCAACAGAAGTACATCATCTGTGAAAATTTCAGCTGTCTAGCTATCACGGTTCATGAGATACATGCCTGACAGACAGACGGAAAGACAGACAGACAGGCGGCCACACAGTTAGACGAACAGCGGAGTCTTAGTAATAGGGTCCCGTTTTTACCCTTTGGGAACACTGACAGTGCTGCACGAAGATTATCATAATGTTTATTTTTTTATTTTTTGTCTTTTTTGTTTAGGAGCTTTTGTTCGGACATGTCATCGGTGACATGACAGCTCCATCGAAACAAACTAACGAGTACTGAACTACTTAATGAAAAATTATAAAATTATTACATTAGATTTCGTCCTTGTGTAATTTACTGGCAGCATTCCACTAAACTACACAAATTCAATGCGGCTTCAGATTCGGGGTTACTCAGAACACTTTGAACAAGCCCTATATCCAACTTATTTATTTGAAAGATTGCTAACTTTACCGACTCAGATAAACACCATCAAAAAGGAGAGTTATTTAACTGCGGTCTTTTGTAAGGGTGCGGCCAGAGTGCACTCAGATTCAGATTCAGATTCCGAAAACAAGCGCGAGAAATAAACAGTGTAGTCGAAGGGTACGGCCAGAGTGCACTCCTGATTCAGATTCAGATTCAGATTCAGACTCAGAAAACAAGCGCGAGAAAAAGCAGGCAACCTGCTTAGACTACACTGTTTATTTCTCGCTCTTGTTTCCGGAATCTGAATCTGAATCTGAGTGCACTCTGGCCGCACCCTAAGGTGGAAGAATCTTCCCCAAACCAGCGCGCCACTTTAAGCGGCAATTCCTATGCAGTCTGCTAATATCTTCAATTAAAACTGACGACAGAGGAAAAAAGAAACGGCCAAGTGTGAGTCAGACTGACATGACAGATTTGACACTAGATAGAAGCAAGAAAAAGTTGAAAACACCAAGAATTTCTGTAATGAAGCTCCCTAATTTTAATGAATATCTTTTATTTAAAGTTAAAACGTCAATAGAAATGTACATTCGCTGAAATTTGTAATTGTATACTTCGAAAGACTTGCTTTTCTTCTGATAGACGGACGGACGATCAGTGCAGAAAGACTTAGTAATGCGGTTTCATTGTTACCCATTTGGCACGGATCTCTAATGTGAGACACTGTTCTCAATAAATATATCAAAACTTAAATAAATCGCATTTATGATTTATTACTCTTAATAACAGAACCGGTATGCACATGTGCACGAATAAGAACCTAATCATTTTACCTACTGCGTTTGTTTATACAATATTTTTGGAAATTTATTATTCTGATCACGATGACTTGGTGATTTGTTCAAGTGTTACTTTTTGGCCTTTTTCTTACTGATCCTTAGCAAATAAAATATTAAGACGTCACATACATTGTTTCTGTTGGTATTTTACAGTCTTATAATAACATTTTTAATTGCACAGTTTATGTAAAATATCAGTGTTTAAATAATTGAATTTAAGCGTGTATTTAATTTCAAATAAAATGTTGGTTATACATATAATGATAATCTTTATTTGCTAAAAACACGGTATACAGGTCTACATAAAGTGGATTGAGAGCGTGTTTTGCCATTTGAAAAGATAGTATGAAAATACATATGGAACTTTGAAATAAAAAAAATATTAATTATAATAGGATAAGCTAAAAAGTGTCATTATTTTTTGTAATTGAAAAAACTTTATAGATCATAGAAATGGTTTCGATTTAGCCATTTATACAGTTTATTTTAAACATGTTCATATTTAGCATTTTGATTTTTGATTGTATTTTATTATATATAGATCTCGACAAAATGTGTTGTGTCGTAAGTTTTCGGTTTTCAAAAGTTTTAATGGATTTGGATGAAAGGTACTGCAGACAGATTATATACATATAGTTCAAGATCTGGATTGAGACAGGATATTTTTTACCCCGGATTTTTTTAAGTTCCCGTAGGTTGGATTCTCAAAAAACTAAATATGCAAAACTGATAATGCGGACGAAGTCGCCGGCGGCAGCAAGTGTTAAATAAATCGAAATTTGTTGTCCCCGGGACAATCTTGATTTTTAGAATATTATAAACTCGAAGCTTTTAATCCAAGAGCTTTATGTCAATTTGTTGCCATAGGCTTTTTGTTTTAAACAAACCATTGTTTTGATAAAAAAAAGATAAAGATATATTTAAAAAAGAGGTTGTAACAGAAACCAGTTAATGCAACTTTTGGATGACAGTTTTTAAGCTAGTGTTAAAAGCCCGAATAACTTTTTTGTGGTAATAACTACAATGTTTCGGATGTTGCGTGAATGTAAAAATATTTGTTTGGTTTATGGAGGTATTGCCACTTTATATAATTTCGTTATAATTCTCACCTAGGTCAGGATGTTCTGCCCTTGTCTCCTCGATGATGTTCTGCATCCACCACGGCTCCAGATCGGCCATGTCTCGGCGCCGCCGGCCCCGGGTCTCGAACGGCAAGTGCATCCTTCACAACATCACACGCCGCCACAGCTACCCCTTCTCTACTTGACTAATGTACTGACCCAGCAATGGATGAAGCACTATACAAACTGTCACCTTTCCTCTCACAAGGCCACCGACTTTGATACTCTCCAATAAGAACTATCACAACATCACAAGTTTTCCCACTGTTTATGAATTCACGTCTCGTCCTTGTTATGATATTAGAATTAATTTATTCCAAGCTCGTATCGCTAATAAATGCTTATTAATATAAAGTGAAACTCGACGATGCAGTACGTTCGTTTCCGTGTATTTGTTAAATAATTGATTAGTTTCTCTTTGGATCTCGATTTGTATTCCTAATGTTCAGTCTTCGATGTCGGGCGAGCGGCTCTTTATTCCTTATTACAAATAATGTTTTGTTGTTTTCCCCTTTAGGCATCATACGATTCACAAAATTACGTAGTTACTTATGGGCTTACACTCATACAACACAACGTCCTTTTGCGCGCTTCGGCGATTACTTTATTTATAAAGAAATATTTTCCTCGATTTACTTAACGCACTAGTTTAGCAACAGACCTTGGAGAGTTCTGCTTCAACTTAACTTTCGTCATTTTAGATGAGTCACAAACTTCACTGAGTCGAGCGCGAATCTGGCCGAAATCTCAGGCATTCGTGTCAAAGGTTCCGGCCGGCGTTCTCAGAAGCACACGGTCGTATGTGGCCGCTTGTCAACATCAGCTGAGATTTAATTTCTCAAGGTAGGTATTTCCCGCGCTATACGTCAACGCTGGTAAGCAACTTGTTGTGAGCGCAGTAGCGTAAGTCCCCAGGTCCGCGTGATGGGTTGCGCGCGCGAGCGACTGGTTCCGCGTGTAATGAGTCAGGCTCGGTCGCGGCTGACGGAGGCTGCGTGCGTGCTCGCTGCCCGCGCGACTCTCTACTACTGAACCGCCGCCATTCTGTCACTCGTTGCCTCCATTCTCTGCGGTCAATCTGCGGTTTGGCCACGCTTCATTTGTCGGGAAAATGCGCGTTGTTTCTTACCCGCTTGCACGTCCGATCGAGGTACACAGTGCGAGCGAGATGCACGCAAGTTTTGTACCATTAAATATTTTTATTTAGATCCATTGTTGGAAGGGAAATATTATGAGCTTTTTCGTTTTGAAACGTTGCTGTTGCGTATCTCGCTCTTTTCGGGCGCTTCGTTCAACGTCGAGAGAGATGTCTATAATGGCTGCCTAGCTGCTAATTTACCGAAGTTTAAGAATTGAAATAAGTTACAGAAGTTAAAAATTGCAAACTATTTAATAATAATTTAAAATTATAAATAGCCATAGCGTACGTTCAAATGAGACATTAATGTTAGATAATGTCTATACGTATTAGTGAAACTCATTGCCAATTTATTGATCACTATCTCGTAATATCAAGTTGGACGTGATTATTTGCGCTTCATTTGGTACGGCTACTTGGTAATTTCTCAATAGTTTTAGCGGGGAGAGCGCGTGAGGGTTGTGGAATGTATTCTAGAGGAACGCAAGGCCAATGGGCGTGTTTCTTGGTAGGCGGGACGGGGCCGCCCACCGTCGCGAAGACAGTCGCAAGTGTGGGAAAAATGCCGCGTCGACCGCCGCGCCGCCAGCGATGCGCCGCCCGCCGTCGCCGCACGTCGGTCGTCGGTACTCACTCGGGACACTTGTTGCTTGATCCACGTGTTGGCTGGTTAGTATTACTTCTATCTTTACGCCGTCTCTCGAATGGGGGAGGCGAAGATTGTTACTTCTTATCGTGATAATTTATGTAATTGGCGGGATTGCTACCATGTTATGTATTGTTTTTTACGAGTCCCAAATTTTTAGGCACTGTTGCAAGTGCCATGATCACGTTGTACTTATCCTGAACCTGTTAAGGAACCAAGGTACAAAAATAATCCAAATGGTTTTTAAGAAAACTTATCCCTTAAGGGCTGCCTTTTCGTAGCATTGCGAACCAGCGACTATCAAACTGTGGTTTTTCAAAAAAATACCATAGTAGAATTTAATTATTTACTGAATATTGAAGAATTGCCATAAAAGAATAATAGAAGGATATTGTTTTCAGTACATTATTTATAATTTCTTTATAGTTTTGAATAAATGCAAGAGGGCCAATCATTGTGGGGTGGGCCAGCATTAGTAAAGGTTACCCTATGTAAACTTTCTAGAAGTTTTATTTTTTTAGGCACTATGCTCATAACCGGTTTTTACTTCGTCTAAAAACCGAAAAAGTTTGCATATGGGTAACATATTTTATTTTAGTATTAGCAAAGCTAAGGGAAGTGTTCTATTTTTTATTTGGTTCTTAATTTTTTTTTTCTAAACTGCCATTCACCACATAAATCTCAATCAAGCCATTCACTAAACCATAGTGGCCACGTGACATAGGCATTACACAACACCCCGCCGTCTGCTGACCCGTTATACGCCACGCCGATTTTTGTCGCGACCGCAATCGGTTGCTTTGCGGCAAACGCGGATATGTTGTGACGCCTACAGAATTTTGTTGACAGTTTATGGGGGCAATTATGTAACTGATCATATGTGAAAATAATAGTTTCATTTCAACGTAAGTATTTTAAGAACCTTTTACAGCTTTTATGAAAAAATAATTTTCATGGATTTTTGTAGCGATAGAAAAAAATAAAACTAGCGGTTCCATTTATTTCTTGTAGACCAAACTTATATCATAGAGGTATATGTTTCTTTATTCTATCTACTTTCTTAAAGCAGTATTAGCAGGTGGAAAAGAGTAAGTTGGTATCTACATAACCAAATGCTTTTGGACAAAAATAATGGTGTGATTAGGGCACCAGTTCCCAGATCCAAAAAATATTTTTGAATGGAGTTCATGTTTATTTTTATTATAGTTTTGTAAAAATAAAACTGCTGCAATTCCTTTTCTTTTAAGAAGAAACATAGTTAAAGTCTGATATGGAATTAATATTTTCAATGCATACATATTAGCTTCTACGAGATCAAAATAATTTAGTAGTAGGTTAAATAATGGTTTCCAAAAAACTCCACAAATAATTTCATTTCCGACCCTACACTCGCCGACCTGCCAATTCGACTCTACCTTGACTCCGATAAATTCCAGTGTGTTAGTTGTCCTAAAATATCACCAAATTAGGTAAGATACGATTTAACGAGGAAATTTTCATAGAAAATAAGTATAGCTAGAACTCAAACTAAAGGGAGATCGTTCGATTCCATCCTGGTACTCGCACTGAAAAAAGTAATTTACAAAACTAGTTGAGTTGACCGTGTAGCCAAACATTGTTTACTAATAAATAAATTTCAGTCACGCATAGACCAACTGTTCTGTAGCATTTTAAATTATCATTTCAGTTAATCAAGTTTAGTTAAAAAGTACTAAACCATTTTATTATAAGCTCTCAAATTTAAATTTGATAATGTGAGAGGAGCTCGATGGTGTGGGTGGTTAGCGCGTTCGGCTGCGATCATTAAAGTTAATTAGGTCCGTCATTAGATGGATAATCAAAAATCTTCTATCTCTAGTTCCTCTGTGCTTCGGAAGGCAAGTTAAACCGTTGGTCCCGGCTGCATCTGCAGTCTCTGGCTCGCATGGGCGTGTGCCCCATGAGTGGGGCATTAGTAGGCTGATGATGATGACGAATCTGTAACATAACAATGTATTGTTATAATCAAACATACTTGAAATGATTATTTGCGTAGGTATAGTTGGCCTAACTACAACTTTTTTCTGCTATTATCTAACAAGCACAAAAACCGCTATGAAAACTAAAAAGTGTTGTAACTGTTAGCCAAAAAGTTCGTTTACAGATTGCAAGTACGTGTTTATATGTAAGGTAATGTGCAACGGGGTGCCTTAAAACTGTAAAGATTGCTTTTTACCCGGCTGCGCAATGCAAGAGCGCGAAGCGCGACGCGCAGACAGGGTTATGTGTTTAACAGTCTATATATGTATGTTTGTTCCTTTGTGGCACACTAGAGACCAAACGCCTGGACCGATTTTGATGATTCATACATCAATCGATTCGTCTCAATCATGGGAGTGCTACTAAAGATATGATAGTAATCAAAATTCAATATGGCCAAAATTAGGCGCCATATTGTGACGAAGTAAAAAAAATAAGTTGACAAAATATGTCGAGTGACAGAAAACAACAAACGGGAATTACTGCTTCCTTCAACCTGGGACATAAACGTCATTGATTGGTATTGTATATAGGGTGATTAAAAACATTTGAAGTTAACTTCTGGCATCTACATATTGGGTTTCTGTGAATTATGTAGGTATATCAAATTATGAGACTAGGGACTGACACTGCATTTGTGTATATCACAATCTTAGACGTCCGGCATTGACATGACAATGCAGCCACTGCCAATTTTAAATAGTCGACGAATAAAAGTAAATTAATTTTATATTTACTGCTAAACTATTAAAAAAACATAAACAAGAGATGACTTTTTGAGTAAGTGCTAGTTTACTATAAAATTTACATACATTAGAGATATTTATGTAACGACTTGATTTAACTTCACATATTTTTGCGAAAATTGAGGCCCATCTGTAGCCTTGACCCCGCTGGTAAAGTCTCTATATGTCTTAATAAATCAATCTTTTAGACCGACGTACTTAATAATTCCCGCGTTATTAATTCCCTTACTGAAGTAACAAGACTACGGTATATACCGTCTTAAAATACTAACTAACTAAAAAGTGTGAAATAAAAAAGGTAAATTTAAAAAATCAAAAAAAATTGATTTTTTAAATTTACCTTTTTGATGTAACTTGCAGACACTGAACTTCTTCAAAAATGAGGAGTCCAATTAGTCAATATATTTGTTTTTATGTTTTTGTTCGCTCATATCTCCGAGAGGCACAGTAGTGCCTCTGCCAAGACGACAAGACGAGTTACATAAGGTGTCGTGAAGTTAGGCCTTGTAGTGTAGAGTTAGAAGCATGGCTCTACATGAGATCTGATATTTTTTTGACAGTGCCGGTCATATGGTCTCATCTTGGCAACACTTTACATGAAAATGTTTTTGGTGGGTTATTAACATTCTTTCAATAACCCAATTAATAATTTAATGCTACACCATCAACACATTGGTGAAATTAGGCCTTAACATGATTTGTTATTCAAATGAAGTATTGAAATCACATCTTGAAAGATTAACCAAATTTCAAAGATAATAATTTACGTAAAGCCGGCAAATTGTGAGTTAAATAAGTGTGTGTGTCTGTGTGTGGCTTGCAAACGAAAGAAGGGTTCAACAATAAAGTAAAATAATTATTTAAAACAAGATCGAGCAAAACAAGCGGATTAAATCACGAAACATGTATGGGACACACCTCCTTTTTTTCCTCTAACAGGCAATCTTTGAAAATTTTTGGTGGTTAGGTACCTATCTGTTTTCATTTAAAAGATAAAACCTCATGACAAACAAACAGTGAGGTTCCGAACATTCTTTTGGGGTTTTGGCCATAAAATCTACTTTAAATGCGAACGTATGAGTGTTCAGCCGAGAAAAGGGATAATGATGGGCCATATGACATTTATTTTACTTTAGTCAATCAACCAAAAAATTACAAAGATAAAGCGCGTCAAAGTTTGGTAGTGGGGGCTCGTGACGTCACTTGCAAGTAAAAATTGTACCATGACATGACATGAATTGTCACATCATGCGACATTTCAAATCACTATATATCTGTAAATATTTTGCATTTTGTGTGGAAAAAGAAAAAACACGTGACCTGATAGATGAAGAAGCTAGTCATCATCCCTATCACCAACAAAAGATGTGTACTTTCTTATTTCTTTGGTTTGGCACCTACTACAACTTGTTGTTTACAAATAGGATTCTATTTGTATCGTGGCTCCAGGTAATGAGGACTAATTGC